CAATTCCTTTCACAATAGCATCCCCAAAAATGAAGTATTTAGGAATCAGTCTAATGAAAGAAGCAAAAGACCTCTACACTGAATACTACAGCACTCTGAAAAAAGAGATCGAAGAGGATATGAGAAAATGGAAAGATCTCCCCTGCTCCTGGGTAGGAAGAATCAACATAGCGAAAATGGCCATACTACCAAAACTCTTATACAGATTCAATGCAAGCTCGATTGAAATTCCAACAGTATATTTCACAGAACTAGAGAAATAGGAAGAATACATAGCGAAAATGGCCATACTACCAAAACTGCTATACAGATTCAATGCAAGCTCGATTGAAATTCCAACAGTATATTTCACAGAACTAGAGAAAATAATCTAAAAATTCAATTGAAACTAGAAGAGACCTACAATAGCAAAAGCAACTCTAGGCAACAGAGACATGGCAGGGAGTATCACAATTCCCAAATTGAAACTATACGACAAAGCCACTGTAATAAAAACAGCATGGTACTGGCAAAGAAAAAGACCCCAGGATCAGTGGAACCCATTCAAAGATATAGAAACAACTCCAGATGTACTCAGCTACCTCATCTTTGACAAAGGAACCAACCATCCTTACTGGAGGAAAGATAGCCTCTTTAATAAATGGTGTTGGAAAAACTGGATTTCAACTTGCCAAAGATTAAAACCAGACCCCTACCTTTCACCTTGCACTAAACTAAAATCCAAGAGGTTTAAAGATCTAAATATTAAAAGAGAAACACTAAACTTGCTGGCAGATAAGTTAGTTAGATCTCTCACAGACTTTATGAACAAATAGCAAAAGACTTTATGAAAAAATCCTCAGTAGCATGGGAACTAGCAGAAAGAATCAACAACTGCGATCTCATCTTATTAAAAAGCTTCTGCATTGCAAAAGAAACCATTAACAGAACTAAGACACAACCTACAATGTGGGAGAAAAATTGTACTAGCTGCTTCTTGGACAAAGGACTATTATCTAGAATATATAAAGAACTCAAAAAAAATCAGGCCCGCCAAATATAAAGACCTGATTCAAAAATGAGCATCTGAAATGAGCAGACATTTCTCAGACAAAGAAGTAAAATCAGCAAGTAAATATATGAAAAAATGTTCCACATCACTGGGATCTCACCTTTTTAAAAAGCTCCTGCACTGCAAGAGAAACCACCAACAGAGCAATGAGACAAACTATAGTGTGGGGAAAAAAAATTACCAGCTATTCCTCAGACAAAGGTCTACTATCTAGAAAATATAAAGAACTAAAAAAAAAAAAAAAAAAAAAAAAAACTAAAATCAAACTCCCACCAACTATAAAGGCCCAATTTAAAAATGGGCATCTGAAATGAACAGACATTTCTCAGACAAAGAAGTAAAAGCAGCAAGTAAATATATGAAAAAATGTTCAGTATCACTCGTCATTCAAGAGATGCAGATGAAAACAACACTGAGATTCCACCTCACCCCACAAAGAATGGCTGCTGTCAAGAAATCAACCAATAACAAATGTTTGCAGGGGTGAGGGGAGAGAAAGGAACGCTTCTCCATTGTTGGTGGGAGTGCAGACTGGTGCAACCACTGTGGAAATCAATATGGAGATACCTCAAAGAACAAGGACTAGAGGTCCCATTTGACCCAGCTATCCCTCTGCTGGGTTTCATTCCAAAAGTATTAAAGGTATCATACCACAGTGATATATATGCACCCATGTTTATAGTGGCAGTCTGTATTAGCTAAAACTCGGAAACAGCCCATTTACCCATCAGTTAGAGACTGGATCAAGAAGATGTGTGGTTTTCTATAAATTGAAGTACTACTCAGCCACAAAGAATGAGAAACTAGAGTCATTCACAGAAAATAGATGCATATTGAGGCCATACTCTGAAGTGAAATAAAATAAGACACATGTGTAAATACCAAATAGCTTCTCTTGTGTGAAAAATTAAAAGTGTAAATAAGATCCAAATTGTATAAATGATAATGTGAAAAAGGTAGAAAAGGGCTAAAGGTGTAGGGAAAGTGGGAAGGGTAGGGGAAAGGTAATAAGGGAAAAGAAAAAAATACGAGAAAATGCAAAAATGGAAACAAAGTCTTTGTAAATAGGGGAGTGTGGAGGAGGTGAAGGGAAAGCAGGGATATGGGGAAAAAATGAGAACCAAGATCTGTCACGTAAGGGTACAAGATCCCAGTGATAAATATAACTGTACTGTACTATACTTAAAAAGTACCAATAAACTCAAAGGGGGAAAAAAAGAACATCTTGTCATCTGCAACATGGTTACACCATGAGGACATAATACTAAGTGAAATAAGGCAGTCACAGAAAGACAAATACTACATGATGTCACTTAATATGCAGAACCTAAAAAAATTAAACTCATAGTTGCAGAAAGTAGCATGATGGTTACCAGGGGCTGAAGGGAAGGGAAGAGGTCTGTGGAGATGTTTATCAAAGGATACAAAATTTCAGTTTAATAGAAGGAAAAAGTCCAAGAGCTCTTTTCATAACACGATGACTATAGTTAACAATAACATTTATTGTTGAAATCATTTTAAAAAGTGAACTTTAAATGTTCTCACTGCACCAAAAGAATTAAGTATGTGAAGTAATACATAGTTTAATTTAGCCATTTCACAATGTATATATTTCACATCATCTTCTTGTACATGATATATAGATATAGATAGATACAATATTTTGTCAATTTAAAAAATGTCTTAAAAACCAAAATAAAAAGTCTGCTATTCCAAAGATACTGCAAAGAAAATAAAAAGACAAGGCACAGTTTGAGAGAAAATATTACAAACAAGTTCAGAAGCAAACTGCAAACTAAGAAAAAAGTACTTGAGATACACAGATGCAAAGACCTGACCTCTTTCATGTAAAAAATTACCTCAAAAACTATTAATAAAAATTATACAATCCAATAGAAAAATGGTCAAAAGTCACAGTGAATTCCTTCAAAAAGAAGTGCAAATGCCAACAATCATATGAAACTAAGATTAATCTCATGCACAAGTAAAGAAATTCAAGCTAAAACAAGATGTCATGAAGAATATCTGACACAGAAATATTTATAATACAAAAAAATGGAAATTACTGCAAAATACATCAATGAGGACAATTAAGTACATAACAGTACAGAAATACAATTAAATACAGTACTACCATGTACCCTCATGATTTAAATACTGATTTCATCCAAACTAATAACATTAATAGCAGTCTTAAGCATACAGTTGAGTGGAGGAAATATTTCCATATGCATAGCAAGATCTCATTTATCGTAAATAAAAAAAAATTCTTAAAGATCTCATTTATCTAAAAGTGTACATCTTCACCTATTCTTTAAAAGGTCTATGGTAATATAGTTATCTGAAAGAAAACTCACCAAAACAGTAAAGTAATTGTCCCTGGAAGGGGTTTCAAGTGACTTTTACTTTATTTCTAAATTGCAGTGTCCTTTTAAAAAATCTACAGTGAGCACGTTTCTAGAGTTAAGGAAAGTTAAGTTATTTTAATTTTGAAAAATATGAATACATATTAATGCAACGTTTCAACAAAACAAAAGGCCTGTGAGGATGCAGCAAGCCAAGCGGCCGGCCAGCCCTCGGTCCCTGCCCTGTGAGGGCACCTACCTCTAACCGCACTGGGCACACAACGCAAACAGCTCAGGACACACTCTGAGGCTCAAAAAGGTGCGGCCACATGCAGGTACATGGTGTGGACTCAGAGAACAGGTTTCACTTCAAACCCTGCTTCTAGCACCACATTAGTGATGCTGACCTCTGGGCCAGTGGTTTGACTTCTTTGAACCTCAGTTTCCTCCTCGGTAGGTTTCATCTACTTTTGAAGGTTGTGGAAGAGTCTGAATAACATATGCATGTGATACCCTCAACTGAATGCTTGGAACATAATAAGCACTTCATAAAAATCAGCCGCTGTTACTATTACTCAGGACATTTGTGACATTTGTTCACATCACAACCACTCTCCTCCAGGGTCATGGAGCAGAGTGGAAGGGAGAAGCTGCAACCCTCAGAGAGGCGCACTAGCTGGCCTCCAACAACAACATGCTTTTCTGTACTGTGAAACCTTCTTGGAAGTGGCAGGCAAGGAGGGTGGCAGCCAGCTGGAGAGAGGGAGGAGGACAAAGCAAGGGCCAAAAATACAGTAATTTCCTGGTGAGGCCAACTGCCCTCGAGGGGCCAACACGACTTATCTCACTCCTCCCACATTCTGTCCTGGGTTATGGGAACCTCCCCACAGGCATCAGGATGGTGCGATTTTGAAAGATTTACCTGGATGCCAACACTGAAAGGACTCTAGGGATCCTGAGTGCTGCCTCCCTCACTGTGCAGTAAAGGTCAGGCAGGGGCCTCCTGAAAACCAAGCAGCCAGCTCCCAGCTCAGACTCTCAAATACAGGGTCCCCTCCTATGCTAATCTCCCTCTCACTGCTCTCCACAAGTACTCATTTCCCTCACTCCATCCCCCTGCTTGCTATCTGTCCAACTCTTTGAGGCCCCTTCTCCCAGCTGGCAGCCCCAACTGACCTTTCCGTTACTCCCTATGGTAATGGAAGGAACCAGACTATAATGTTTCTGATCCCAATGTTTAGGACTCAAAGGATGACTTAATACCAGAACAGTTATGGTCATCAGTCACTCAGGGAAGACAGTCCTCTGCTTCCAACAGAAACAGCCTAAACCACAGTGTGAAATGAGAAGGCAGGAGCAGGAAGAGTTTTGGACTCTTCTGTACCTCCGTGGTGACACTGGAGGTTACCTGAAAACTCTAAAGAAAGGAAGCCCCAGAAGAAAGAGGTACAAGCAGAGTCAAAAGCAATGAACAGCGTCTGTCTCTGGCATTGTAGATGCAACCAAGATGGAGGGAAGCCATGGGAAGAGAGAGAGGCAGCAGAAGGCCCTGTCCCTTCCCAGGACACAGTCTCCACCGTGGCGGAGACTGGCCTGGGGCTTACCTTGGGCAGGCTCACTGGAGTCCTGGGCTTGGTCCTGGGGTTCTTAATTAAGAGCCTCTGATCCAGAGGGAGCAGATGGTATTTCATGGCCTCAATGAGGAAGTCCTTACAGGTGTTGTTATTCTTTATCAAAGCTTCTTCTTCCACCGTCTGGAGGTAACAACCCACAGGTAACCCAGGAGCCGCGCTCAGCCACACTTCCCAAGCTCTGTCCCTGGGCTGGCTTTCTAATTCCATCCCGCACCACACCATTTCAGACCCAGAGAAGTGTCCACAGCGTTGCAACATGGTGCTCACCTTCCAGATATCGAGGGCATTGGGGTTAAGGGACCGAGCTCTGGCATCAGGCAGAGGCTCAAACCCCAGCACCACCAATGAACATCTCAGATGCCTAGTTTCCTTATTTTTAAAGTGGCACATTAAATATATCTACAACCTCACTAGTTTTATTTGCCTTTGAGGCTCACATGAGTTTGTATAAAACAAAACACAAGCAGTTCTCCTGACAGGTGCTTTAGTTGGGGACATGACAAGTTTTAGAAATGGATACAGTGACAGTTCTACAACATTATGAATGCGACTAATGCCACTGAATCCTACACTTAAAAATGGTCAAATCCCAAGTTTATGTGATATATACTTCCTCACAGTATAGTATGCTATATATTTAGTTTTTTGTTTTTTGAGTCAGGGTCTTGCTATGTAATTCAGGCTGGCCCTGAACTCACTATGTAGCCCAGGCTGGCCTCAAACTCACAGTGATCCTCCTGCCTCAGCCTCCTGAGCACTGGGATTACAGGCATGCATCACCATGCCTGGCCTGCTATATATTTAGAGTAACATTTGAAAATGTTTCCTATAAGCCTGACAAACATTAGCTATTGTGAAGCCCAAAGTCAGTGCCAGGTGCAGGCTGTCCAGATTTTTCTCTTCCTCCCCTTCTCCTATACTGTGACCAGCCAACCCCCGTAGGTAATACTTGCTTCAAGTTTCAAGGTCACGTGAATGTTAATGAAACACCCTATCCCAGAGGTATTCATCCTGTAAAGCCTGAGAAAAGCGCTTTTTAAAAAATGATTCCCACACAACAGTGTTTGTGCCCCCTGTTGCTGACTTTCTTTTCCAGATCCAAACACTACTTTTCCACAATAACCCAGGAGCTATTTCCCTAATGTCTTCATGAAATTTCAGTTGTGGACCCCTGAGGGAGGCTGTAACCAAGTCTCCAAGGCCTCTTTAGCTTTCTCTGGTCCCCTGGCTGCCCCCCTCCCTGTAGAAGTGGGACTGTGCTGGAGGACAAACACCCACCCAGTCCACTGTCAAGGCCCTACAGGACAGCAGGACATCTGACAGTGGATCCAGGAGCTAAGGAATGCACTAAGGGGACCTTTTCTACAGGGAGGATACGGTGCCACAAGGTGGCAGTATACTGTCCAAGGTTGCTGGCAGCGCCTGTGAAGACAAGAGCATCCGGTAGCACCTGCAAAGGCTGAGGTACAGATCTTCAAAGGCCACTTCACAGATCGCTTAGGCCCATGGACACGAGTGGCACGTGTCACTTTACAAGAGCTCATAAGTATATGTCACCCTCAGTCCCAAGCACAATAGTAATATCAACTAGTATTCACTGAACGCTGAATTATAAGATTTTCTGGATTATCTCATTGTGTCTCCCTCCTCCAAAATCATATTAAATCAGCTGCTACTTTAGCCAAGTGAGAAAACTAAGGTTTTAAGGGGTTAAGTGGGCAGGGAATAAGAGGAGCAGGGGTGCCACATCCTCTCGTAATCTCAGATCAGAGGGCTGGTAAACTGCATCTGTTTTGCATAGTTTAAAGCTTTGCATAATTTCAGCTTATTTTGTGTCCACTTGTAAATGTCTAATGACATTTACTGTATGAATGGGCCATGCAGTGGAAAAACAAAACAGAGAGCATTAAAGGTGGCAGCTTATAGAATTGTGGGCTTCAGAGCCAGGCTGATGTGGATTTGAATCCCTTATACTAGAGAGCGGCCCCAGGCCAATCACAACCTCCACCCTCTCAAAGTCCAAAATTATGAAAAGAGGGTTATAACCTTTACTTCAAATGCTTGTTATAGGATTAGGGAGAAAAAGATGGTACCATGAGGGCAACCTATAATCCGTCATTTCTCTTTCCTTTTCTGGAAGAAGTAGAAACAGTACATGTTCTAAACACCTGTGTGGAGCTGGTTTTTACAGTCCTGCCTTGGGCTTCAAGTTGCCTAAAACTACAGCAGAAAGGGAACACAGACACATTGTGAGAATGGCCCTTCTTGCTTTGGAACTCTGTAAGAAGAGCCACTAATGTTTATTGAACATCTCCATGCTAAACACCTCGCTCACGGACTCACAACTGCTTTAGCCCCAGCTCAGTCCTACTGGGCTCTATTACATCATCTGATCTGAAAGAGAAGACATAAGCCTCGAGTAAGGATATCAGGTAGCAAAGCTGAGACTGAAATCTCAGCATCTCATTCTCCAATCTATACCCTTCCAACTTCCATTACCAAGCCTCACACCTGACCCAGTGGACAGATGACCTCATCCCAGGCAGAAGATCCATTAAACTCCTTAAGCACGACACATGGCCAGGATTGCCACTGCTGCTCCTGGAGGTTTAGGTGAACAGCAAGTGCTCACCTGGACTAAGTAGTCCCTAGGCAAAAGAGGGAGTCGGACATGTTCCATCAGCTTTGCCATGTGCTCCAAACGGGTCTCTTTCTCATAATTGATCCACGAAATGACAGCTTCAAACACCTAGAAAGAAAGGAGACAAGGCCTTCAAACCCCCGTAAAGAAAAAAAAAAAAAATCTGTAAAAAAAAGGCTATAAATCATCCACAAAGGTGTTTAACCTAAGACTCAGTCTTTAAAATAAAAAAAGAAAGGATTCATGTACTTGTTGGCTTCAGGGTGAAAACACACACACAAGGACAAACCTGCTACACCAAATGTAGGATCACCATGGTTTATTCTAAACTCAAAATCAATTCCTATAGCTATTTGAGGGTAGAAATGCAGAGCAGTAACTGCAAATCAAATGTATAACAACTTCTTAAGAGGATCAGGAGTCCCGGGGACCACGTCACCCTGCTCTCAGCGCTCCCCTTCCTCATTTATCTCCCGCGCACAGCTAACAGAATGAAAACGCTGAGAACACGCTCTGCCCAAGGCTGGCGTGATACTGACCGGGGCGATGAATGACAGAAATTTCTCTTTGGATTTAACCTCTCTTCTGAGATTTCATTTCTATGCAAATCAAAACCGGGGGGCGGGTGCTTGGGACAAAAAAAGGAAGGCCCATGATTTGCCTGTTTGCTTGGCTCAAGGATAAATCCAATTTCAAACTCGGTCCCACCAAATACACACAGAAAAAATTCAGTGTTGGTGGAGCTGTGGGAAAAGCAGCAATATTCATAGAAATTTAATTAGTAAATATAACTTTTTAAGAGGGGAAAGAAGAATTTGGTAATACCAATCAAAATTATAAAATATCTGGCCAGGGATTTACCTCAGCAGTTCAGTGGCCTGCCTTGCAAGCGCAAGAACCCGAGTTCAATCCCCGGTACCAAAAAAAATAAAAAAACAAAATTATAAAATATCATACTCTTTGAACTATTAAATGCCATTTCTAAATCTCTAGCCTACAAAAACAGTCACATAAGTGTGTAAAAACATGTTAAGGATGTTTCTTGCAGCACTATTATAATAGGATTTAAAAATGGAGAACTTATCAAAACACCATCGCCCCAGCTGTGGTGCTACACACCTGTAATCCCAGCACTCAGGAGGCTGAGGCAGGAGGATTGCTGTGAGTTTGGGGCCAAATTGGGCTACCTAGCAAGCATAAGGCCAGCTTGGACTACATAGCAACACCCTGTTTTAAACTACCTTCCCAAACTTTTATGTAACATCACTATAATTGGTTTCAGCTATTAGAGAATAAAAGCAGACATCTTCTTGTATCAGAAAGTATGAAAGTGCTCACAGATTAAAAAGGACATGTCAAAAGGTGCAGAACCAAGTGGAGGGGACTTTCATTGCCCATATTTGGGAAAACTTAAAAATCAAAGAGAATAAGAAAGAAAGATCAACAGGGGAGAAAAGGTCAGGGAATGACTGGGAAAGAGACAAAGGAAACCTTCTCTGGTCATAAATATGTGTCTTGATTGAATGCGCATTACATGGCTTATACATTTGTGAAAATGAATCAAATTGTACACTTATTATCTACACATTTCACTGTGTGACCACACCTCAATACAGAAGTCTTAGTCTAAAAAAAACGTAATGGATCATAACACAATGAATGAAAGAAAAATCCATGAGTCCATAGCATACTTTTAAAAGCATAAGAAAGGCTCTTTTCATCTTAAGTGCCAACTAGCAAATAGTAAATGTGAAAGGAATAATAGAATTAGAAAAACAGTATTTTGCAACCACCAATGTAATAACTGACTCAGCAAAGATCACCAATGATGCTAAAATTAAAAATACCTGGGACCAGGCATGGTGATGCACACCTGTAATCCCAGTACTTGGGAAGATGAGGCAGGAGGATCAGCCATTGTGAGTTCGAGGCCAGCCTAGACTACATAGGGAAACCCTGTCTCAAATAAACAAGCAAGCAAACAAAAGTTATTAGGGAATAAGAAGTTTCATCCCACAGAATATATATTATTTATACAAAGGGAAAGATACCCTAATCTACAGAGATATGACAGTTACTACCTTAGTCAAAGGAATCAAACTTACCACCAATAACTGGACAATTGCTGTCTGACTGCGATTTAATGGGAAGGATACAGTAACCCCAGTAAGGCATTCCTCCCAGTATAGTTAACCCAAATCTTGTTGTGAGGGAACAACCAGAGAAATCTATGTCTGGGACATTCTACAAAAGGCTAGACTGGGTTCTTCAAAAATGGTAAGGACAATGTACTGCAAACTTCCAAAAGCTAGGAGAAAGACCTTTTAATGTTTTTACCATTAAAACAATGCTAAATGTTAGAGGACACAGATTTGTTTCACCTCATTTGAATATTATACAACGTACACATGTATCAAAACATCAACTGGTAGCCCATAAATATGTACAATTTTTATGTTTTTATGAATCACTTTTAAAACAAATTTATTTTAATAGATTTACATTTTAAAGTGGAACGGAGCAGAAGAAAAGGAATAGCACATATGTGCAGTGTGTTCCCATTTCTGAGTAAAATAACCTATAGATTAACTTAAGAACATAAATATCACCAAAATTCCCTTTATCTAGTACATGTTTTTTCCATTATAAACTCTCATGGCTATATCCCTGACACTCATAGCACTGAGTTTGTGAATGTGTTTCTTCTATTAGTCCTTACAATTCATGAGCTCAGGTACCTTGTCTCATTTACTGGCACATGATGCACATTTCTGAATGACTGAAGGAACATATAAATTCAGAAAAAGCCAGTAAGGAGGTGGGTGAAGCCTGCACATGCTGGAGCAGAGAACAGGGCTGGGGAAGGAGAGTGATAATCTTGGCAGGTAGGACAGAGTCAGAGGATGATCGAGGAGTCCGACTTTGCTAAAGCAGGTGTGGGCAGCCATAATCCCATTCTGCACTGCATGTGGTTATTCACATCTCCTCCTACTCCTCTTTACTAGCCTGAGCTTTCACAGGGTGAGAAATGGATCTGTACTGTCTTCGCACCGCCTTCCTGCCTATGCTGTCTAGCACAATGTCAAGGTGTTGGTTGACAATGCTTTGCTAAATGAAGAACTACAACCCCTGAGGTAGGGTTGATTTATTGATCATGTTCTTCCCTATCAACCAGCTTAATCTTTGTTATAAAAGCTAAAAGCAACCTGAGTGTACCAAAGTCGATACTTAACCTTATCTTTATTTTTTGGCTTGACTAGTCTAACTGGTTCCGCTTAGTTGCTCTGTTTACCTATTCAGCTGTGAAAACCACAGCACTCTGCAATAACAGTGACCTTCTCAGCAGCTACAGAAGGCCATGCATATTTTTTCATTTAGACTTCATGCCTGAAAAAGAAACAAGCAAATAAACTTCAAAATAGCTTTACCTTTCAATGTACCTAAAGTCATTCTCAATAAGCCCTCCCCAAGGGACACTTCATAGACATCACCTTCCTAAATTCTCATGACAGTGCAATGAGCATGTACTCTTATCTATTAGGAAGTGATGTGCCTATGTCCTAGAATGAAAAAGGCACTCCTAGATTTCCCATAAATCCAACTCCAATGATTATACTCTTGCCCATTTTTCTTAGTTGTCTCTCAATGTCTACCAGCTGGAATTTGCAAATCACAGCCCACAGGCCAAATCAAACTGCACCTGTTTTGTTTTGTTTTGTTTTGAAACTTACTGGAACACAACCACACTCATTTGTTTACAGACAATTTAGGCTGCTTTCACACTATAATAACAGAGCTGAGACTCTATAAACCACAAATCTCATCATACTTACTACCTGGCTCTTTACAAGATAAGTTTATCAACCCCTGTACTATAAAATCTAAGCAGAGATCCTGGAACTTCAAACATGGGACAGGGTGATATCTTCTCAAATAATAATGCTTTTCATGGAGACCACAATGAAATAATCAGCTGTCCAGACTTGGTGTTTTACTTTTAAACAAAGAAATAACATCATTTCCTCACTGATGCATGTTTCTAAATCAATTTCTTGGTTGTTAAAAGGTTCCTATGTGCATAAAGATTAGAGAAAATGATTTTATTATTTCCAAACTCACCACACTTCAGATGTAAGCACGGCCTTAACCAGAGAACATCAGATGAGCCCAAATTCTACCTCAGCCTCTGGGTAGACAGGCAGTCAAACCAGGCTACATCTGGTTAAATGCCTGAATAAAATGGGAAAATTTGTTTTGAGAATTGGGGGTGGGTGGCTCAAGCTGAAAAGGCAGAGCAGTTAATTGACAAGGAGAAAGATACAGTTAAAAGTGATTCTCAGCAAAACATAAGGGATGGGGTAGAAGCTAATTTTTACACCATTAGGGGAAAAAAAAGAAAACTATATTCTTGCACATTCTTCAGTCTAATTTGTTACTCAGACTGGAGAAGGACTCACTGTATCGATAACAACAAGCACAGTACTAAACCTCTTACATATATGATCTCATTTAACCCCCTCCAAAACAAAACTGTGAAGCTGGTATCATTAGCCATTATTCACGGTTTACAGATGAGGAAACAGCTTCAGAAAGGCAGCATGTTATCCAAGGTCACACTACCAGGAAGCATCAGGTCGGAGATGTGAAATCACCTCTAACTCCAAAAACCCAAATTTGAATGTTACACCATGTTGTATCTCAGAGGTACAGTTACCTGAAAATCCTGGGCAGATTGTTGAATTGGGAGGTTAAGTTCTTAAACTTACAGCACTAATTAGAGCCCTGCACGTCCTCCTGGGCCATCGCCCCTGAAGATCCTGATGCTTTTCTAGGCATTGAGGCAATCAGTTTGCTAAATCTGCTGCCGTGCTTGTAAAGCAAGAAAACAGTGCTTCTACTTACAGTGACTCTGCCGGATGCTTGTTTTTAATTCCTTTTTTATTTTTGGTTTTTTGTTTTTGTTTGTTTTTGGGGGGCTGAATGAGGGCCAGGAATTTAGCTCTGTGGCTCCACCACCTGCCTCAAAAGTGCAAGGTCCCAAGTTTGAACCCCAGTACAAAAAAAAA